CGGCCCCCATCGTCTAGTGGTTTAGGACATCTCTCTTTCAAGGAGGCAACGGGGATTCGAATTCCCCTGGGGGTAGGGTACTACAGAAAGGAAGTTGATCATGGATTATCAATAAGCCTAAAATGGATTTTTCCTGGGTCGATGCCCGAGCGGTTAATGGGGACGGACTGTAAATTCGTTGGCAATATGTCTACGCTGGTTCAAATCCAGCTCGGCCCAATAATTTGCCAATCCACCATGAGATTGTATAACCCCCTGTCATCCCATACGAAGATAAAAAAAGAATCGAATTTTCTGCTAGATCCCTTATTTCGCTGGGATTGTAGTTCAATTGGTCAGAGCACCGCCCTGTCAAGGCGGAAGCTGCGGGTTCGAGCCCCGCCAGTCCCGACGGATCCAACATCCAGTAAATGCATAAATTTATTTTTCCCTTTTTTTGAACTAGTAAAGGGTGTCGGGGACATACTCTCATTTCCAAAGCAAAAGGGAGTCTTGATTTCTTTTTTTTTTTTTTTTACTATTTTTCTTTATTGTTTGTTTAAGTTTGTAACTATGTGATTAATCGAAGGGGGGGCAATCTGATAATCCCTCATCAGATGATTGTCCAACGAAGACGCAAGGTAAGTTCTAGAACAAAAAAAGAAACCGATGCTAAATAAAGAAATTTTTGATTGATTGGGTCAGGAATCCCAATTTGGATTCGATATGGAGAAAAGAACTTCCTATGTTATACTAATCAAGTCTCGACAACGAATTGATTTGATAGATCAGATATTGTTATTCATGATATTGATCCGACATCGAGAGGTAATTCATTCATTGAATTTACAGACGAAAGATTTATCGTCTCTAGGGGATTAAATCCCGAGTTATTGCGAAGTAAAAAAACCAATGAGATTATGGAAGTAAATATTCTTGCATTTATTGCTACTGCACTATTCATTCTAGTTCCTACCGCCTTTCTACTTATCATTTACGTAAAAACAGTCAGTCAAAATGATTAATTCAATTGCATTTTGAAATTCATTTGAATGAAACTTTTCTTCTGAGTTCTGATCAAAAATTGACGAAGTTAACTGAAAAGGATTCGAATTTCACGTCTTAACTTAGATGAAATGAGCGGACTAGAATCGGAAGTATTCTAAGAGATGGATCGGATGGTAGAAGGATTCATCCATTTCTTTCTTACCATCCCATCTATCTCTTAGTCTAGAAAGTTGTAATCTAGAAGGCTTAAGTTTCTATAGATCAATCTCCAATATTCTCTTCATAAACGCGGAAATTAATTCCATATATTGTTATGGGTATGGAATTGACATAACACCCAATTTGCTGCGTCTATTTGTTCCGATCAATCGGAAATAATTCTTATCGTAGGATTCGATTTCAATAAGGAAGAGGAAACCTTTCCCATTTTGAACGCTGAAAGCATGATATGAAATTAAGTTGATAAAGGCTAAATCGCCTTTCTCAAATTATGGTAAATGCCCAATATGTGATTTGTCCGAGGCAAGATCTTATGTTTCTTGTTAGACAACCACTATCTCTATATCATTTCTCATATAAAGTATGTATATGCTTAACAAAACGACTTCTTCTTTGAACAGGAAAGAAATCAAAAAAAGATCTGGTCTTCCCTCACTATCCATCTATACCTATAAAGATAGTAAGAACCCATGAAATAGAAAATTTTGGTTGGAATCAATTTCTTTTCCAAATACAAGCACGGGAATCGCTGAAATATCTCTTTGATTGAAAGAGTATCATTCATATCATAGATTACTCTATTGGAATCCAACTGGATTCCAAATTCAGAGATTTTTTTTTAAGTTCAAAACGCGTTGCAGAACGATCTATAAAACAATTGATACGGTTTGATTCTTCAACTCAGTTAGTAGTGCTTCTAGAGTCCACTTCTTCCCCATACGACGAGTGAAAGGGAAAATGTAAAGACTACCATTAAAGCAGCCCAAGCGAGACTTACTATATCCATGTGAATTATGTCCTCTATCTCGATCTCTATAAATACGAAGGAATTATTCCTCATTAATAATATTAGAATTATAATAGTGGAATCCATAGTGCAGAGTCAAAAAGGGATTCTGACCGAACACTATTGAGAAACCAATCCAAAAAATCGATTCTGATCTCAAATTGGGAAAGATTAAACACAAGTAAAATACGTGGTAACATCCCAAGGGAATGAGAACATGTAGGAATAATAAAAAGAAGGTCTATTTTTTTTGTTTTGTTGACCTTCGTAAGTCAACACAGAAGGGGAGAAATCAATAGTAAATATTGATTGGATACCGGAGCACTCAGAGATTTTTGTGAGGCCGTCGTATAGAAAGCAACCTCCGGCCCTTTCCAAAACTATTAATTGAATTTTCTCTCAGGTTCTAGAATCTGAGTCAAGACCCAGTGATTAGACACTCCTAGTAATAGAAAGGAATCATGAAGTCTTAATAGTCCTTCGACCCGTGTATTCGAATATTTCTTTGAATCCTAGATGTGACTGAAGATTCACAATCTTTTCTTTTCGAAAACCCCGGATCACATGCTTAGAATCAAACAACTTTGTATGCTTTGAGCGGGGAAGAATTTTGCGAATTCTATCAGCAGAAGAGAAGCAGAGCTTTCAAGTTTTTTGTTCATCAGGCGACACCCGGATTTGAACTGGGGAAAAAGGATTTGCAGTCCCCCGCCTTACCACTCGGCCATGCCGCCAAAATGATATAAAATAGATTAAATTTTTCCCGAATTTATGAATTTTTATTGTACTTTCATTTTGATTCCTGTTTTTCCTAATCCTTTTACTAAAAAAAAGATCCCTTTTTGATTGTATTTGATCTATCCTTCCAGTATCTGAAAATACACAATGCTAAAAACATTTTATCGCTTTTCTATTAAGAAACCAAATGTGTATTTTCAGCCGAAAAATTGGAACCAGTAACTATTGATTGCTTACTTTAAATTCAGGAACAATTCTGGGATTGGAATCTTAAATTGTGTTTTCCTAATGACCTAAAAAAATTCCAATTGAAACAGAACCAATTAGTATTGATTTTTTCAAAAAAAAAAATCTGTTTCAATTGGAATTATAACAAAACATATGAGCATATGTAAACCCTAAAACCTAAATTCTTAGATAGATATCTATTATTTCGATATGTTGTCGGTAGGGAATTCTAATAAAATTATCCTACTTCGCTTCAATTTTGCATTGAATCGAAATGCTCTTTTGATAGAGCCCAACTCGGGCTATTCCGAATAGAACCGGCAATAAAAGAGACGTCGGATATTCTAGCTATCTGCATACATGTTTATTAAATGCAACCCTTCTTATATTATACACTTCAAATTGTATTGGACTCACAAACACAAATAATTAAAGTAGAAATATCTCTCTTTTCTGAGAATCGTTTTTGAACAACGAAATCCCTAACAGACTAACAGAAAGGTAGTTAAGTGCTAAGGATTCTATCTGATTTTTTTGTCTTTGTCTCCGAATCTTTTGATTTTTCTAAAATTCGAAGATCTAATATCATAATAATGGTCTAATTTGAAGCATTTTCTTTTTTGTTTTGCTATTCTATATAAAACCCTATGACCTTAATAATTAATAAGTAGAATTCTGTTTCTAGGATTTTTTATCAATTCCTTTGCATTTGGATCTGTTGCAACTTACAATTTAAGTAGAAAATTCTCTTTATTCCTCTGTTCATACGTAGTTCATACATTTCATTCCAAATAGAGAGTTGGGTCAAATTTCATGTGATTCAGTAAACAGAATCGAAATTCCATCGGTGCTAGATCGTCGATCTAATTCGATGAAGAATGTACTTAATATTAATAATAGAATGGGATTTTTTGATAAATGGGAAATTCAAAATGCTGGGGGATGCAAATGGGGCAATGTCTACAATACCTGGGTTTAATCAGATCCAATTTGAAGGATTTTGTAGGTTCATTGATCAGGGTTTGGCAGAAGAATTTTATAAGTTTCCAAAAATTGAAGATACAGATCATGAAATCGAATTTCAATTATTTGTAGAAAGATATCAATTAGTAGAACCGTTGATAAAGGAAAGAAATGCTGTGTATGAATCCCTCACATATTCTTCTGAATTATATGTATCCGCCGGATTAATTTGGAAAACCAGCAGGGATATGCAAGAACAAACTATTTTGATTGGAAACATTCCTCTAATGAATTCCATAGGAACTTTTATAGTAAATGGAATATATAGAATTGTGATCAATCAAATACTGCAAAGCCCCGGTATTTATTACCGGTCAGAATTGGATCATAACGGAATTTCCGTCTATACTGGCACCATAATATCAGATTGGGGAGGAAGATCAGAATTCGAGATTGATAGAAAAGCAAGGATATGGGCTCGCGTGAGCAGAAAACAAAAAATCTCTATTCTAGTTCTATCATCAGCTATGGGTTCGAATCTAAGAGAAATTCTAGACAATGCTTATTATCCTGAAATTTTTTTGTCTTTTCTGAATGCTAGGGAGAGAAAAAAAATAGGATCAAAAGAAAATGCCATTTTAGAGTTTTATCAACAATTTGCTTGCGTAGGCGGGGACCCGATATTTTCGGAATCCTTATCTAAGGAATTACAAAAGAAGTTCTTTCAACAAAGATGTGAATTAGGAAGGATTGGTCGACGAAATATGAACCGAAGACTGAACCTTGATATACCCCAGAACAATACATTTTTGTTACCACGAGACATATTGGCAGCCGCTGATCATTTGATTGGACTGAAATTTGGAATGGGTACACTTGACGATATGAATCATTTGAAAAATAAGCGCATTCGTTCTGTAGCGGATCTTTTACAAGATCAATTCGGATTGGCTCTGGTTCGTTTAGAAAATCTGGTTCGAGGAACTATATGTGGGGCAATTCGGCATAAATTGATACCGATTCCGCAGAATTTGGTAACTTCAACTCCATTAACAACCACTTATGAATCTTTTTTTGG